GTTAGACATGATCCAATACGTTCAACAAAGTGGTACAAACTTTTAAATATATTAAGCTTTTAACGATATACGGCTCTAAATAAATTTGTTGTTTATAAACATTTAATAACAAATTAATTTAGAATCGTACATATCATTAAAAGCTTTATACACAGAGAGAAAAAAATGGTTGGAATAACCATAATTTAATTATATATATAATTTATAGCTAATTTTTGGGACAACCATAAATTTATAATTGTTTTGACTATATAAATTACAGTAACCAAAACTCTAAATTATAATCATAACGACCATAATATATTGTTACCACATGTAAATAGTAAGCGAATATTGAAAAAATGGTTATTTTCATTGTAATTATGATTGCAGTTACTATATAAAAATGGTTATTCTATTTACCATCCATATTTCCATACTCTATATTAATATTTAAAATTATCATAATTTATAGTACAATTTTTGTACCGTTTGATAGATATACATATAAGATCATTGTTACTAATATTATAGCAATAATAACTATAAAAATGATGCTCCTAACTATAATTATTTTACTATATAATTATAGTCACAAATACGATATACTTTTCTCTCAGTGTACATGAAATATTTTATCATTTTGTCCAACAATTGGTTCATGTCAACTAACTGATACATTTACCTTACAATATAAAGTAGAAAATATGTTCGTAAAAGTAGCGGCTTTTTAAAGCCAATTTAAAAAACGAGTTGAGCATTGACCTTTAACCTCGAACACGATATAGTATACATTCAGTTGGAATAATTGAATATTGAAGTCAGTTGCTCATAGTTAAAACAAAGAAAATGGTATAGACATGTAGTATAGGCGCTAGAAATATACAGATAAAAGCAAGATGGCACGCGGAAAAGTCAATAAATGCAAGCGATTGAATATTTTCCGTTCTTTTGAAGAAGATCGGATTCGTACGCGTGAGTTTTTCTCTTCGTATATTTTTCATTCTGTTTGCCAATATAAGACAATTTGCAAGAATTCAATATTACAGTATAAATAAGCACAAAATTGCGTGTCAGATTTTTGTGAAGATAAAAGAGATTCATTTGCCGATTAAATTATCACTAAGAAGTGAAATATCGAAAAGGACAGAGGAGAAAGGTGACTTCATGGGCACCGTGTCCGAAGTCCTTCGTCGCGTTTCGCAATCGGCATCCTACGATTTCCACTTATTCAACAAGGACCTTGCAGCGATTCAGGAATATATTTTCATATACTCCGTGGGGAGTATGAAAAATAGTACGCAATAGAAGAGAAACACTGATTTCGCTAGAGCACTGCATTCGTTATTTGCGAGGTCGCGTCGCGCGTTTTGCGTCACAGATTGCGGTCAGATCGCGTGGCCATTAGGGGATTACAACAAGTTACAGTAAATTTTCCCAGCGCAGCCCCGAGAAAAATCGCGCGTGACACGCATCCTCGCCCACGCACGTGTATTAAAGAGAGGGTGGGGGAGGAGAGAGAGAGAGAGAGAGAGAGAGAAGAAATTTCGAAATCTCAAACGCGATCTAGATGGATCTTGATTTATCCTCTTGACTCACTGTCGAGCCCGACCGGATTAATCCCAATCAATACACGCAGGAATCACCGCACTGTTCACTATGCCACATCATTGGCCTTATCACACTGTTGTGATCGTGTTATCACTATACCCCGTGTCATCGGGGATGTGATCCCGAGGATCGACGTTGCTCGCGATCGGCTGCATTCGATGACATGCGGGATGAACACGAAGGGCTAAAAAAGGGAGCTCGAGAAAAAGGCAGCTCGAGAAAAAGGCAGGGAGAGAACGAGGGAGACAACTACATAATGGAGAAGGAGAAAAAGAAACGGACCAACGAGAAGGGGGTACTAGAAAGATAGAGAGAGACGGAGAGGGAGTGAGAAAAAGAGCGCGCGCGAATGTCCGTCGATGCAGCCGACAGCACGACTGGCGGCAGCGGCCTCACCGCACCTCTGCACATCCACCCACGCTATATCGATCTCTACCGTCCTCCGTTGTCGCGTCCCTCACCTTCTTTCTTGCCTCCCTTCTCTTCGGGACTCGCGCGCATCAGGAACGGAGTGCCGGTACCGGGCGCTGCTGCGCTGGTATCAGCGATTCGGCGAAGCCAGTGCATTGAGATGGTGGTGGTACCGGTGGTGCTCTGGTGGCAGTGGTGGTGGAGGTGATGGTGGTGGTGATGGCGGTGCGGGCGGTGCAGGACCAACTTAGCTCGGACCTGATTATATGCACCGCGCGGGGATATACTATAAGGCGTGTGTATGAATGGATAAAGAAACTGCAATGTATACGTGAGAACACAATTGGGTAATAGTAACCCTGGCGGATAGGGTGAGTGGAAGGGGATATATATATATGTATATATATATCCTGAATGTATAGGGTGCCGAACAGATTTTCGTATCCTTTTCGTCTACAGGTTTCTTAACGAAAATTCAAAACCAGAGCTTTTCCGCTCGAATTTTTCTTCATTTTTTTGGATTTTTAAAATCAATTATTTCGATATCTAAATGCATTACGTATTGGAATCGCACGATAAAATACTCCAATAAAACTTATATGAATAGTATAGCCATAAAGAAATTATATGAATACCGATCAATCTTATCTGCGCACGCGCAAACACACACATACACACACGCAAAAAGAAAAGAAATAAATTCTGTTAAATCCTTAACATTTTTAGATATTTAACGAGCGATTTTGTGTTAAGCTACTTTTCCATAAATATCTACAAACACAAAAGTATTTGCTGGAATGAGGAATTGAGTAAGTAAACTTCTTTCTTAACTAATAAATTATGTTAAAGTTAATAACCTTGAAAATTTAACTTAATTTTAAGATACGAATTAGTTACAAGGCGTCGAGTGGCTTGCTACTCAGTGCGATTGATTCGTGATCTGTAGGGATCAATCCTACCTGCGCCCACATACGCGACTTTCCGCGTTTAAGGAGCTAAAAATGGCTTGATGATTAAGAGATCTATGATCGTCAGCGCCGTTCGGGGATCAGGCGTTAAATTGTAGGTCCCATATATCGATGAATATACATATGTATGGATCCTCCAAGCTGGGGATTAAATAATTTCAGAAAAAGAATCCATTGTTATGAAAACCTCATGAGAGTAGGCCTTGTCCCGACTTTGGGATGTTATTTATGTACTTATCAACCCCCTTGTTGCATTGTGTTTAACGGTTGGCTCCAAAAAAGTCAAATTAAAAATAAATAACTATCGATAAAAAATGTAACTAAATTAAGTGAAAAATTTAAGAATCTAAAATGTAACTGAATTAGGTCAAAATTAATTAACTTTTTCACTACACCCAATTCTGGCTGGAATATATATAAAAATTATGCAAATGTAAGTTTCAATTTAAATTAATTTTTGTATGATTGTAATGTTGTGAATTATATAATATAAACAGATTCGTTGAGGAATTTTATGATGATTCCAGGCGCATACATTTCGTCACAGACGATGTATGTTTGCTTGCATTAGCAGTTAGAGACTTTATATGACATTTGCACGAATTTACGTAATATTCTACTGAATAACGCTTACTAGTATAATACCCCCATTAACCTGAATCCTCCATCATCGCAAATCAAATTCACCGGAAAAAAAATCAGAAAAGTGCTCTTTTTATAAGTCGAGTGTCGAGAGATTAGGATGCTATTTCATTTGTGCATTTTGTCGTGCGACAAATAAGTATCGGACAGAGAGGTTCTCAAATCTCTCTATCCTTTAACTAATCAACAGACTTGAAAAATTTGTCGTACAACAAAAACACACACATGAAATATCGGCCTTAGACGAAACGCCAACTTGTGATATTCTTCGCAATCTTATTTTTCACAGAATTTGATTTATCATTAATTTAATATTACATCGTTAAATTTTAATATATGTCTTTCAACATATTAAGATCCAATAAGATACTATAAGTATAAAAAATTGTTAGATTGTTTGTCAATTTAACTAAAAGTGATATTACTGCGGTAGTTGTTTAGTGTTGCGTTGTAAGTCTGAAAAAATTTCGGCACGCGATTAGGGGGACTATATACGCAGTATATAAAATTCACACATAATTTTAATAAGCATTTGTGATCCAGCTTCGACCGTTATTAGTTTCCTTCTTCTTGTTTATTGTTTATCAATTGTACCGTCTTAAAAAGATTTTAGTATCGGCCTTAGAGTTGCGTAGAAAAAAAAGTTAAATATATTCGTATTTAATAAATACTCACGCTATCTTTACCTATTATTTAACATATATTTTCTTTCTTTTGACAAAGGAAAATCGTTGAGAAATTTGTATGTAATGCGGGCTAGCTCATGCCGTAGTGTCGACAGCGATAGAGACAGTTTTAATGCGTAATAGTTGCACTGTACCACGAACAGGCAGTAACCACGGAGAATCATCGTAAACAGTTTGGTAGTGCGGTGGTACGTCAATAGAGATATAGAGGGGCGCGGTGGAGCCGAGAGAGAAAAGAACGTCACTTCCGGCCCATTAAGATCGTCAAGGGTCGCGAATCGTGCATGGGAGGCTAATTATTCTGGAGACAGTGTCTCTCATCTTTGATGATTTTTACACTCCTTTTTACTCTTTTGTTCTAATAATTTCAAGATATTTTAATCGAAAAATAATGCCTCGAAAGACGATAAGTATCATCAAAAAATTCAACGCAACGAGACCAGGAAGTGTATCCTTCTTGGAGATGATGATGTTTGCCATTTTCAATGATTTTCAAGTGTCTCCCGCCCTTCCTGTTTTGATACTTAATTAACTTTCTAATAATTTCGTAAATTTTACGTTTACGAAGAAAGAATTAGAAGCTCATTAGGTCGCGTGGGGCGCATTTCTTTTCAAAATGTTTCTTAAATAATTGGCGATGTTCTAATTTATCTCATAATTTGATTTGTTGAATTTTTATTTGTGAGACTAAATTTTATCTTACCTAATTTGCGTGTGGTAGGCAGGCGTGGTGTGCTCAGTGTGCGTGGTCAAAAGTTCCGCGGGATTGTTGGCCATGTTTATTGGGAGTCCTGTCGAATGCGTGATCGGTTCCAGCAAAAGAACACCTGGCGTTGCTGGCGATGGTTGCGGACCTAACAATGAGACGCGTACTTTTTCTCTACCTTCGCTGAAATTAAAAGAAACGTATTGTATTAGTATAAAGATGAGAAGAGGACGCGTGTTATATGTACTTATTTATAATCGGGCATTGTAGTTAGTAAAATGTGTTTTTTCATTTTCCTTATTATATTATGCTATCTTATATTTTTTATATATCTCATATTTTTCTTATATTAATATCTAAATACAGATATTTAAATACTTTAAACAAAATAGTATTTTTAATAATTACTACACTGCAAAAATGTTAACAAGTAACATTGGAAAAGTCAATTATTCTCTGACAATGCAATTTATACGCTAATCGCAGTCTCCATCGCGCGTTCTCGATTACAAATATAGATAATATTTAACAAATAACTTTTGTATTTGGAAAACCGGCAAGTTTCGAATAATAATTTTTTCCACGAGATCAGCCTTGCGAGACTCATGGAAAAAAACTAAGCGAAATTTAACGATTTAACTTCCGCTTTTATCGCCACGCCTCCTCGCGTGTCCTATCCCCCCAAGAGCGTGCAGCAACTTCCCTCGAAAATGTCCATTATGCACGCATACGTATGATTCTCACGTACAAAGCGCATAATTCGATTGGTTAGAAGGTAACGATTAACATATTGAGTGTTAAACAAGTTTTTTCTCAGTTTCGCAATTTTCATTAAACTGTATTAAAAGATTAGTTAAGTAGTCTTTCAGGAGTCTCTTTTTATACGCTTCAAAATAAATTTATAGATTTGATAGTTTGATTCTTTCTGAACTGATTTTGTAAGAAGTTTGAGTTATAGATAAGACAGTATATTTAGAGAGGAATCCGACTTTTCGCGGAAGCGAGGTGTACCTCTCCCTGCCTAGGAACGTTCGACTTTTCACACGAAGCGGGATCCACCCTCCTTTCTTCCTGCTTAGGGGCGTTCAACTTTCCACTAGTATATCGCTAGGGGCGAATGACTTTCCCCTAGGCAGGGGGAGGTGAGGTGGACCTCACTTCGCGTGAAAAGTCTCCTTTATTCTATTTTGGCTCAAAAAAAAGAATAGCATTATATAGACCATATAGCAGAGTATATGTGAAAAATATATAGTAAAATATATATTTTCTGTTTAAAAATTACGTTTCTTTAATAAAAATTTTGTTAATACGGGGATAACGATCGAATTCAGGATTGTGACCTTGATAACAAGTGTCAAGGTCATCGGAGTGAGATCTCGGTATATTTTTACCTAGATTTTTTAATATTTTTTACTTTGTTATCAAATATACAAATATACATTGTATATACAGGGTATCTTACAACCATACAATACTTTTATACCATATTCTAAATTATAATAAATTAATTTTAAAAATTAAACATATAATAATAGATGTCTAAAACATGAAGCTACAATTTCTAATCTTCATTTACGCAAATTAGTACCAAATAAAAAATTATAATAAAAATATTTAAAGTGACACCGTTCAACAACTTTTTTCTATACAATGTGAATTAAGGGTTAAAATAAATTTAATCACTCGGTGATATCGTCATACATGTAGTAACAATTTGAATTCTTCTAATAAAAACAATAGATAATAATATTTCACCGATGAATTGGTATCGCACGCAAATTCGTGTCGCGAGCGGTAGCTTGCTACTATCTATTATCGCTCGTCATTTGCACGATAAAATTCCGACCCGAGTATTTCGAGCGCAATGCGATGAGTCATTCGCCGATAAAAATTGCGTTCGACTACGAATATAATTAAACCAGAGTATTTATTTTTCACGATAAATAGGCCGCCGTGGTACTTTCGCGCGCGTGCATGCTCGATAAATTGGATGCTATATACTATTGGATGCTTTAGTGTGCCAACGTTCATTCGCTTCTCTTCACTATTCGAGACTCGTGTTTATTCGCTTTGATGGATGCATACTTGTGATATTGCGATTTATTACGTCGAGGCGTGTCGAATGTGTGATGCCAAGTATTTACGTTCAAAACATCTCTCGCGATATGAGCGTTTGGTCGTTAATAATTGAGCGACCGAGAAATTAAGCGACATTTCATTCGTTCCTGTTACGTAAAAGTAACTTCAACTGTATTTTACAATTGGTCGGATGTATCCTTATCTTCGTTAAGCAAAGCGTGAACTTGTATACTATTCGGTATTCAAAAGCCGCTTACCTCAATATAGGTCACGAAGGTAATCCGCTCACGAACGAGAATTGCCAATCCACCGAAAAAGGTATAAATGATCGTTCGCGCTGAAGCTACACGTATTGAGGGAGTCATGATCTTGTGTAATATCCTGTCGGTTGCGTAATGGACCAAAATGAATTGACGGGAGTCAAGCCGAGGCATCGAGAAGAAAACGAAAACACGAGTTGGACGATGCTTGGTATTAGTTCCCGACCACGGTCACCGATCGTGGAATCGATCTCACGCGTGTCAATAACAATTTTTTTTTAATTCGGATCTACAATAGATTTTTAAGCCTTAAAAAATGAACAAATCATAGTCAATTATTCTCCTCGCATTCGATTGTAATTGGTCAATTTCTTACGGCTTAAGGTTTAAAACATCTATTACCGATCCGGATTTACGCGCAAAAATGTGCAACGTATGCTATTCACAGAATGTGTATCTCTCATAGAGATGAAGTCGTGCCGAGTTACGGTTCTCAATCAATTTTTGTGAGATGAGAGTTTGATAGAGCAAACAAGCAAAAGTTCTTACGCAGGGATAACCTCACAGAATATAATGCAATCAAAATTCTTAGATTTTAAATTCTTTATTTAATATTGCATATTTACGTCTAATAAAAAACGTTGCTTCTATATGTACTAGTTATTACGAGGAATATTACTAAAGCCTGATCGATTCAACGTTGAGAAAACTCGCACGGAATGTAAGACATCCGGGGTTTGTATCTCAAATGAGGTAATATTTTTCACAATAAAATTATTTATTTACAGATTTTAATATGTTATTCAGCATTATTAAGATCTTTCTAAAATACTAATACTTAATATTCTAATTTCTAGTTACTAATACTTAGTATTCTAAGATGAAATACTTCTTCCTAAGAAGATTATGAGTACCAAATTATTAAAGTACAAATGAATTTGTGATATTAATACTAAGGTTCAGTTGGATTTACGTTTCATGACCGAAAATCATTTTGGTACGCAGTTTAAACGACTACATACATATGTAATATATAAATTTACACTGAATTATTTAAGAGCACTTACATAAGATTCAGCTTGACCGTTAAAAGCTTTATTTGCTATTTGTTGTGTAATTACATTTATGATCTTAAGAAATTCTTTGTTTAATAATTTTTTATTTAATTTAATATAGGATTTAATTTGGCGTTAGTTGTTAATATCAAATCTTGTATACAAATAATACATGTCTCACTAGAGTTAAGTAAATTTTATGATATAATTTTTATGTAATAATTTTTAAAGGAGAATTAAAATTATTATATTATTTAGGAATAAGAAAAATCTTCAGTCAGTACACATCACTTGAAGTAAGAAGTGGAATTTAACTTGACGCTAGTTATCGATATTAAATTTGTTATACAAATAGTATATAAAATTTTATGGAATTAACTTGGTTATCGATATCACAGTTATCGATATCAAATATTTTCTAGATATGATGCATCATATCTAGAGTTAAGTAAATAATAACGATAAGTACCATTTGGATTTCACTTTTTAATTTGGTATAATAATTTTTTTTTTCGAGTATATGTCATAATGATAGTATCACTTGAGTTTTACTTCTCAACTTGGGATAATAGTTTTTTTCCAAAAGAAACTCTCAAACTGTTAACATTTTATTTATCTTTTCTAAAAAATTTTTTTTATTTCATCGAAAGAACTTGAAACACATCTTGCGTAACTGAAGATTCTTGAGAATTTAAATTCTCGCTTTATGTTAAAATAAAGTAAACCATTACGTAAGTAATATCTGTAAAAATAGTTTGCATAATCTACACACAGACACATGCTATTGTTATTTACGCATTGACGCCTGACAGCAGCCGTGTCGTCTGACGTCATCGGGTAGTTAAATACCTTGCAAGAATGATTCAAGCCGTGACATCATCCTAATCATTTTCCGACATTCACGATTAGATTGAACGGTATATTATTTATTTCGGCATTATTCTGACGGTACATCACGATAATTCGCCTGTCAGTTTTCGTAATGATTAGAAAAATTCGAAGACTATATATCTATCTATTCAAGACTAGATATCACGCACATTAAGAGTTGAATCATAAAACGAAGATGTAAACTTAAAATTTTACAGCGCTAAATATTTTCTTCTTATATTGAAAGTTAACATTATAAGTATCGAACGGACATTATTGGCTATTTTTATTTTTTTTTTAGATTTTGTGTAAAATTCTGAATTTTTTTTCACTTTTCAATAATTATGTTCTTTACGAAGTATTTAGTTTTATTTTCATCAGTATTAATGAATGCTTAGTTTTATTTTTATCAGTATAAAAAGGACATGATTATTATCATTAATACAAAAAACATAATTTTATCATTTTTTTTTCATTGTATAGTAATTATTTCGCTCGGTCATTTTAGGGAATTAGCACACTGACAAAAAAACTTGACTAGATGCATTTAATTCGTAGTTATCATATGCTTTAGTTCAAGTATTTATATATTTAGGTTAATATAATCTTCTAATTTAAAAAGGGACGCTAATTCAAGAAATTGTTGAGCAGAAATTGATATATGATCTTCCATAAGAATTTGTACGTGTACATTCTTGTTGCTAATTATATTATATAATCGCTCTTCGAGAAAAAGCTTATACATTTACTTGTAATGTAAAATTCTAGAAATTCAGGATTAAATATCTTCAAAACGATATACGGTAAAAGTCAATGAAATTTTTTCTCGATATTATTGATATGATTAACTCTTGTATTACATCTACATTAGAGACTTGTCTTATATTTCATCAAACGCGAACCTCCTTAACAAATGCCA